ATATCATTATTCCACTCACCCAGACTGGCAAGGCCATCCTCATATTGGTGCTGAGGCTGAAGTGAGGGTCAGATGTAAAGGTCAGAGTTCAAAGTTTGGACAATGTTTTATTATGCTTTCATTTCATATCAGGTAGACTGGTGTTGATCTGATGAGTTTAAACCATGCTTTGGTTAGATTTGGTTTGTGTAAGGTTTAATATCCTAGTCAAATAGCACGACCAAAGGTCTCTTTGTAAAAGTTGCCTGAAGACTTTAACATATTTGACCCCTATGACCCCAGCATGCTCCAGGTTTAATATCATTGTTCTTCCGAACACGCTTTGAAAAATTTTGGCTGACGCATTTGATTTCTGTGACTTTGAAAGTGGGTCAAGGTGAATCATTTGAACAAATTTTACAACCCTCCAACCTAGTATGCAGGCATACATTGATGTATAGTGACCATGGACCATTGGATTTCCAGGCCACTTGTATAAAAAAAAACTCAAAGTTGAAGAAAATCTCAAGCAATGTATTTTCTATGGGATATATTAGACTTCAGGAAGAGTCGAGAGGTTTATACAAGTAGGAAGAATAGTCATTAAATTTTATTGCATCTAACCTTTGATCTCAAAATAGGGTCAAGGTCAATCATTAGAAGGAACAAGATAGCTCTTCATCTTAACATGCAACTGATCAAATATCATTATTGCGGTTACTTTTGTTCGATCAAAACTTCACAATGATGTGTTTAACATTGTACAAATGTACTTTCAAACTGAAGCTGTGTGCAGTGTGAGATCCCAATAGGGATCATGGTAGTGACCGGTTTAACATTAGTTCTATGTAGATTATGGTAGTGACCGGTTTAATATTAGTTCTATGTAAGCTGGGATCATGGTGGTGACTGGTTTAACATGAGTTCTATGTAAGCTGGGATCATGGTAGTGACTGGTTTAACATTAGTTCTATGAAGATCATGGTAGTGACCGTTTTAACATTAGTTCTATGTAAGCTGGGATCATGGTAGAGACAGGTTTAACATTAGTTCTATGTAAGCTGGGATCATGGTAGTGACCGGTTTAACATTAGTTCTATGTA